GCGCTCAGCAGGGGAGGGCTTCCGAACTCTGCGTCGAGGTAGAGCAGGGAAGGGGCCCCGTACGAGAAGTGAGTGAACGGAAGGAGGGGGCGTAGGGGCGAGTTGTGGAGGGCGTGGATGATGGCCCCGCGGTCGACGCTGTTGAACGCGTTGGAAAGGTCGACTTGCAAGATTAGTGAGTCCGGGCACGCGGAGGTGAAACTCCGGGTGGCGTGGATGATGACTTCGCCTCCGCTCGTGATGGCTACCCCGAATTGGTGTGGTAAGAAATAATCTTGGGCCGGTTGCGTTGTGGAGATGAGAGCGGCTTTAGCTGCTAGTCGATGAAGACATTCGCCGACCGCTATGGGTCAGGTTTGGTAAAGGCGAGGAGGCGTGAAGACGTTAGGAGCTGGCTGACTTCGTGTGGCAGGTTACCCGCGAGAAGGCGCTGGACGAGCTCATGGAGGTGTTTGGCGACTGAGGGGTTGGATAGCGAGGCATCGCGAAGGTGCTCGAAAGTCATTCCCGAGGGCCCTGCCCCGACCCCGTTTTCGCAGCGGGAGAGCAGCTTCGCGAAGTCGGCGAAGTCGACTGTCGGCGGATTGCAGTCCTCGCCTAGCTGCGGCCAGTGGAGGTCTGCGGCGAGCGGAGGGGGGTGTTTTGACTTCAGTGCATCCAGGACCGCGGGGGTGGACTCGCTGACTAGGGTCGAAGTCAACACGAGCAGTGCCCGTCGCAAACTGCCTCGTCGTACCAGGCCCTCGGCTCGAGATATTTTCCCGAGGGTGTCAGGTACGTGGCGGGGTGGGGGTGTCAGGGTAACAGCGGAAGCAGCCGCTTGGTACAGTGTGTCCCATTGGCCTGCGAGAAATTGTCGAAGGCGAGTTTCCGTCGCCGGCCAGTCAGGGCGTCGTGGTGACGGTAGGCGAAGGGTAAGGCGCGGGAGGTAGAGTAACAGAATCCAGCCCTCGATGGAGGTTGGATGTTTGGCGAGGAAAAGGAGGGGTGTCAGGAGGGCGAGCGCGAAAAGTTGGTGGATTTGGGGGGGTAACCGGCGGGAGAGAGGGGGTTGGCGACTGTCGCACAGGACTGCGATGTCCCAATTTGCGATGTCGGCGAATCGGGAGGTGTCATTCGCCATTTCTTCCGGGGACAGCTGTTGTGCTGCCTGGGGGTGGGTGTCCAGCGGTGCCCGAGTATTATGCATGCGGCTGGGCCCTCGTCCCCTAGATCTGGGAGTTGGGCCAGCGTCTCTTCCTCCAGCGCGCCTGTTCGACTCGACGCCTTCCTCCTCGCTGGGGGTCTCACTTGCAGATTCTTCCTGCCCCCCGGGTATATAAGTTCCGTCTGCCCGTTCCTCCTCACCAGTTGTTCTTTGCAGTTCCGAAGCTCTTAAAGCCCTGTTCGCTGCCTGCTGGAATCCGTTCAGCGGTCCTCCGTCGGAGGACAAATCGCCGTGCCGAGCCGTCCCGCGACCGCGCCCTCCGGCCGTTCCCGTATTGAGTCTGCTGCGTCCTCTTCCGTGATTTCCTCTCGGGGCGACCCCGGTCGCCGTCCGACGTGCGTGCCGAGTCGTGGGGGGCGCCGAGTGCGGCGCGCCACTTCGGGATGGAGCGACCTGATCGTGAGCGATCTGTCGATTTGGAGAGCACTGGGGATAGTGCCTCCCCCCAAGGTCGGGCGAGCTCGCCGGCACGGTCAAACCGTGATTGGGAGCGCGGGCTCCTCGTCCCCTCGACGGCTCCTCAGCAGACTCCCGAGCGGATGCGTGGGCAGTCGCGGGGTCGATCGGCCGTGCCCCAGAGGCACGAGGAGAAGTCTCCCGAGCGCTTCTTGGAGACCGGTTGTATACCCGTGGCGCATGGCGGGGTGCATCAGTCGCCGCGCCAGCAACATCCCTCACGCCAAGGGACGCCACAGCGCTGTCCACAGGCTGTGCCGGTGCAGCAGCGCCGGACTCCCCAGGCGCCGCGCGGGCGTTCTGGCCAGCGCGTCGGTTGGAGGGCCGGCGGGGGGAGTAACCGCGGATCAGCAGCGGAGAGGCGCCTGGGGCGGGCTGCCGCGACTCTCGAGGGCTTGGTGCGCGCTGTCGCCCAGCCCCAGCAGGCTCCGGCGTATGCCCCGCTGCTTCCGTCGTCGCAGCAGCACCAGCAGGCTCACCAGCAGCCCGCGCGTTTCCCCCTGCCTCAGGTGCCGGCGCTGGTGTTCCCTCAGTGCGCCGTGACGTCCCCCCTGCTCCTCGACCACCAGTATCTCGTGCCGCCCCTTCTGTCTGCCCCTCCACCGCCGATCCTCCCCTCTGCCGGTCCCTACGATCCGCGTCAGTTAAACGTGCGGTCCGCGGAGACACTGCCGCCCTGGCAGCCAACGCCCCTGGATGCATCGGTGGTAGGATGGCCCCCCGGCCCGCCGCCGTCGGTGGCACCAGCGTCGTTCGGCGAACGGGCGACAGCGCCCTTTGTTCCCCCTCGTCGCGCGCTGGCGTCGCTGACTGGAGTTGAGGGGGGGGCAGAAGCAGCGGAGATGGGGGGGGCTGAGTCCACCGGTGAGGACTCGCCTCCTGGGGGCCGGGGGCGGCGTCGCTCGGGTGGGCTGCGGATGCCGCCGAGGGCGCAGCTGGAGCGCCTGCGGGGGAGGGAGCGGCTGGCGGAGACCGCGATTCCAGTCGCCACGCTTCGTCGGCTCTGGCACGCGCAGCGGGCGATGGGGTATGCAGTGGAGATGTTGACGGACTCACACTCCGTTCTACGGAGCTCAGTGAGCCCGTGCAAGATGCCTCATGATCCACTCCACCGCTGCGCGATGGCTGCAGCAAATCTGGCTGTCGTGTCAACGCGAGTGCAGCCTGCGCCCGCCTTGGGAACCGTGTTGGACCCATGCCTGCTCGCCGTGATGCGGACAGTATCGGCGAGCGTAGACTCGGCTGCAGCTGTAGACATCGTTGGCGGTGCCGTGTCAGCGCTGATGCTCCTGGGGGATTACGTGAAGGCCCTGCTTGAGGAGGCTGGAGCGGACCAAGCCGCATGACGGGCTCTCGTCGTTTGTAGGTCCTTGTTGGTGAAGTGCGCCCTAGCGTGAGCGCTCTGGTAAGCTCTGTGAGGCTCTCCATGGTTGTTTGCCGAGTGTAGTGTTGGCAGGTTGTAGACCCCAGATGTGTGTACTTGCTGTTGTCGTAGTTGCCCTTGAAGCCGTGTGTTATTGCCGCCCCTCACGCGCGGCCGAAGGCCGCCGACGCGAGCCGCCACCAAGGGTGGGAGAAAAGAAAGAACTGAAAACTAAACAGGAAGAATGAGCTAGGGAGAGAGCTTAAATAGCTTGGGAGGGACTCATGCTCTCTCTCTCTCTCTCGCTCTCTCTCTCCTCTCTCGCCACCAAGGGTGGGAGAAAAGAAAGAACTGAAAACTAAACAGGAAGAATGAGCTAGAGAGAGAGCTTAAATAGCTAGGGAGGGACTCATGCTCTCTCTCTCCTCTCTCGCCACCAAGGGTGGGAGAAAAGAAAGAACTGAAAACTAAACAGGAAGAATGAGCTAGGGAGAGAGCTTAAATAGCTAGGGAGGGACTCATGCTCTCTCTCTCTCTCTCTCCTCTCTCTCTCTCTCTCTCTCTCTCTCTCTCTCTCTCTCTCTCTCTCTCTCTCTCTCTCTCTCTCAAGCGGTCCTGGACATTGAATAATCCTGGGTACAAGCTACAGTGGCGAGCAAGTAAGGGTACAGCGACGTACTCCAAACAGTCAGCAAGCATGTAGGCCACTTACGCGTAGACCGCCCTCCTGCCCCTATGAGCCCGAGGTCCTCCAGCCGGCACCGGCCGAGCCCCTCCCTTCTTCCCCCCCCCCCCCCCCCTGCAGCTAGACCGCCACCTCCTCGTCTAGGGTCGCGTAGACATCCCCCAGGTAGGGCGCCCAAGGGTCGGCCAAAGGTTGGGGGTAAGCTGCCTCTACCGCCATCCCAGATCGGGTGATGAGTGTGCATGCCTGTATGCGTTGCAGCAGCACCGACCACCGCTGTCGGAGGTGAGAGGTAAGCTTCATGGCTGGCGGGGGTTGACAGGTGAGGGATAAGCGGGGTACCGAACCAACGCCGAGTGCTCAGCCAGTAGGCGGCAGAACTCGACGGTGGACGGGGCCAGCGCCCCGTAGGTCTCCACGGCGAGAGCGAAAAAGCCCACATAGTCGGTCCGGTCCTCGTAGTCATGGTCCTTGGCCCAGGCTGCCTCGCGGGCTGCCCAGCCGGGCTGGCCGCCGGCGTCCTGGTCGCGCCGCTGCAGGACCGGGTCCGTGACAGTCGCGTCCGTCAACCAAGTGGCTCCACTTTCCACATCCCGTATGGCCAGGTCGGCCCTCTTTCGATTGGTGGGGGTGGTGAAGCAGACCGTCTCATGGTAGGTCATGAATTTCGCCTCCCGGGCCATTCGGAGGGCGGCGTATACGAGGGCGTCATGCAGGCGCTTGACATCCCCCCCGGGCTTGCAGCGGAGTAGGTGGTTTGGCAGGCTCGGGTCGTGGATGTTTTTGCCGCATGAGCACCCGCTGGGGATGGGGAGCGGCAGGCCTAGGCGGAAGGCGAGGGCGGCTCCGAAATGGCCGGTGCTGAGGGAGAGTTCCTCTCTCTCTACCTCCCTCTCTCTCTCTCTCTCTCTCTCTCTCTCTCTCTCTCTCTCTCTCTCTCTCTCTCCCTCTCTCTCTCTCTCTCTACCCACCTGTCTCTTTACCCACCTGTCTAACTCTCGTGTTGCCCCCTTTACAGTGTTCTTGCTCAGCAAACTTCGCATTCTAGCACATGACCACAACTCCCCCCCCTTCCCCCCCCCCCTCCCCCCCCCCCCCCGCTCTTTCCCCCTTTGCGGCCCGCCCTGCTCCTCGGTCCTGCCTGTGTGCGCGTGCCCGCCTCCCCTGCTGAGCGCCGTGCAGAACAATATGCAGCAACTGGTTCTACGGCACTTTGGCATGCGGCCAAACTCTCCCCCCCCCCCCCTCCTCCCCCCCTTGCCCGCCCTCCCCTGCTGAGCGCCGTGCAGAAGAATCTGCAACAACTGGTTCTACGGCACCATCCCAGCCACCATCTCCAAGCTCACACAGTTATCGTTTCTGTAAGTTACCTCCCATCCGAGCTGACTTTTGAGTCGGCACCTTTTGATTCGGCACCTTTTGAGTCGACAACTGGTTCTATGGCACCGTCCCAGCCACCATCTCCGGGCTCACAGGGTTATCGTTACTGTAAGTGCCCTCCCACCCTCGCCCGTGCCCTCCCACCCTCGCCCGTGCTCTCCCACACTCGCCCGCGCCCTCCCATCCTCCAACTCCTCTTCCTCCCTCTCCCCTCTCCCCTCTCCCCTCTCCCCTCTCCCCTCTCCCCTCTCCCCTTCTCCCCTCTACCCTCTCCCCTCTCCCCTCTCCCCTCCCACCCTCTCCCCATCCCAGAGCCCTCCTCACCAACTACCTCGTCGGTACCATCCCGCCGCTGCCCGCGACCCTGCAGCACATCGACGTCCAGAACAACTTCCTCACCGGCCCCTTCCCCTCGCCCGTGCTCTCCAATACCACATCCCTCTCCACTCCCCTGCACCCCCTTCTCCCCCCTTCTCCCCTCTACCCTCTCCCCTCTCCCCTCCCACCCTAAGTGGAGAAATACGCTTGGGCAGCCTAGCGTATTGCGTATATACGCTAGCGTATAATACGAATACGCTGTACGCTAGCTAAGTACGCAATACGCTAGCGTATTTGTTGACGGGCAGCCCGGCAAGAAATACGCAAAAAAAGATGCTACAAATTTGCGACATGGCAAAACCCCACAGGGATTTCGCCATGTCGCAAACCGAAATTTGGCTTTTGAAATCAACCCAACCCCTTTTCCCCTCCCAACCGCACAGCATCCCACCCAATCTGCGACTTCCAAACAACACCCAAAGAAATCTCCTTCCTCTCCCTCTCTACTCTACTCCAGCAGGGTTTAGCGCAGTTCACTCCTACGACGAAATCAGGGTACAAGTAAACTGGCGCGCTAACTTCAGCCATTTCTTCTTCCAAGCTAGCGCGACCAGCTAGCTTGTTTTTTAGAGACTGCTGCTATGTCGACCCCTCCACCTAGTCCTGGTTCCCACGGAAACGACGCGGGAACCTCCCGTACTGCGTCTTCCTCTGGAGAGCTCCTGGAGAACTCCACCCACACTGTCTTTAAGCATTTCAAGTTTAAGCATAAGGAGCACGGCAAGCAGCAAAAGTATTGGTGCAAGTAGTGCCCCGTATCCTTTACTGGGACGGCCTACCGCTGCGCGCAGCACATCACTAGTTGGGATGGTATGCGTAGGCGCGAGGTTCGAAAATGCGAGGAGGTAGGGAAGGAGGAGCAGGCTGCTGTCCGCGCGTTCCAAACCGCCAAAGTGCTCGCGAGGGAGGAGGCGCTTAGGGCGGAGGAGTCGGCCCTTGAAGATTGCCACGGTGTGACGATTGCCAGCGACATGATGACCGACAAGTGTGGCAGGCCGCAGGCGAATGTGATGCTGGTCAATGACACTGGCGCAGTGTTCGTCGAGAGTATTGACTGCAAGATGGAGAAAAAGACCGGGGGATACATCGCCCGGCTCCTCCGGCCCATCCTACAAATGGTTGGGGTCGAGAATATCGTGGCGTTCTGCACCGATGGTGGCAGCAACTACCACAGCGCCTGCCGGCTCCTCATTGCAGAGAATCCGCGCATCGAGCATGTGCCGTGTGCGACGCACGTGCTCGATCTCCTTATGGAGGATGTGGGGCGGCAGGCTTGGGCCAAGGAGGTAGTGGGGCGGGCGAGCGAGCTCATCAACTACACCCGCAGCGACCATTGGACCCGACAGTATCTCAGGGGTGTGGACGGAGGGAAGGGGCTGCAGATGCTGAGGCCGGCGGGGACCAGGTTTGGGACGCAGCACATTGCTGTGTCCCGCCTGGTGGAGTTGCGGTCAACACTGGTGACCATGGTGCTCTGCAATGCATGGAAGGCGGAGTGGGCGGTGGGCCCAAAGAAGGCAGCTGCAGAGACATTCCACGACCAGATCATGGATAAGGATTGGTGGCCGGCGGCTGAGCTCTTCAAGAGGCTGCTCCTGCTCCCGTTCAAGGCCATGAGGATGACGGATTCGGCAACGAAGGGGATGATGGGCCGCATCTATGAGCTGATGCTTGAGCTCACTGTGAATGTGGCAGAACTGCTGAAGGAGGAGGGGGATGGGGTGCTGAGTGCGGGAGACAAGAAGGGCATCAATGAGATTGTGAAGCGGCGTTGGGATGGGAGTATGGCTTGCCCACTGCACGTGGTCGGGCGGATTCTTAACCCGGCCAACCAGGAGGAGCGGATTTTGGGCCGGACACGGAGTGCACCGATGTGTTCAAGGCTTTCATTGCCCGCCACTATGGGGGGGTGATGATTCCCCAGAGGGATGGCCTGCCCAAGCGTGCCACACTCCTCCTGCAGGAAGGGTTGGCCGCCTTTCTGAAGTTGAGGGGCAGCTTCGGCACGGCTGAGGCCATCAGTGACTGGAAGTTGGTGAAGGAGGGAAGTTATTCCATGGAGGCGTGGTGGGAGTGGCACGGCACTGACCACCCCTTGCTCATGGCCCTTGCTTGCCGTGTGCTAACTCAGCCGGTGTCCGCATCCAGCTGTGAGCGCAACTGGGCGGTGTGGGATACTGTCCACACCGCCCGACGCAACCGGCTGGGTTCAGAAAAGTGCAAGGATCTGGTTTACGTTGCGCACAACTGGAAGGTTGTGCACAACTGGCACATGGCCGACGAGGGGGCGGGGGTGGTGTCCGGGAACATCCCGGACGCCCCCGTCCCTGTGGGGTACAGGGTGGATCGGGAGGAGGAGGATGAGGAGGGCGAAGATGAGGAGCTGCTGGACGAGTACCTGTAGAGCAGAGCAGGAGAGGGTTAGGCGGGTGGTTTGGGGGAGGCTTACCTGAGATGGGTGAGTGGCTGGTTGTTGGAGGAGTTTGGAACCCTTGACATGGCCTTGGTGGCTTGAACTATTTATTTATTACCATGCTAAATGATGCCACATTTGGTGGGGGGAATTTGGTGCTCTGCACCCCCCCTCTTCCCTCCCCAAACAGGTTTTTTTTACACCTGCCCGAGTTTTTTTTTAGACCTGCCCGCCAGAGCGTATTTCCTAGCGTATCCAATCCCGGAATCAAGCGTACAGCGTATATACGCTAGCGTATAATACGCTGTACGCGTATTTCTCCACTTAGCTCCCACCCTCTCCCCATCCCAGAGCCCTCCTCACCAACTATCTCGTCGGTACCATCCCGCCGCTGCCCGCGACCCTGCAGCACATCGACATCCAGAACAACTTCCTCACCGGCCCCTTCCCCTCGCCCGTGCTCTCCAATACCACATCCCTCTCCACTCCCCTGCACCCCCTTCTCCCCCCTTCTCCCCTCTACCCTCTCCCCTCTCCCCATCCCAGATCCCTCCTCACCAACTACCTCGTCGGTACCATCCCGCCGCTGCCCGCGACCCTGCAGCACATCGACATCCAGAACAACTTCCTCACCGGCCCCTTCCCCTCGCCCGTGCTCTCCAATACCACATCCCTCTCCACTCCCCTGCACCCCCTTCTCCCCCCTTCTCCCCTCTACCCTCTCCCCTCTCCCCTCCCACCCTCTCCCCATCCCAGATCCCTCCTCACCAACTACCTCGTCGGTACCATCCCGCCGCTGCCCGCGACCCTGCAGCACATCAACGTCCAGAACAACTTCCTCACCGGCCCCTTGCCCTCGCCCGTGCTCTCCAATACCACATCCCTCTCCACTCCCCTGCACCCCCTTCTCCCCCCTTCTCCCCTCTACCCTCTCCCCTCTCCCCTCTCCCCATCCCAGAGCCCTCCTCACCAACTACCTCGTCGGTACCATCCCGCCGCTGCCCGCGACCCTGCAGCACATCGACGTCCAGAGCAACTTCCTCACGGGCCCCTTCCCCTTCTCCGCGCCCACCCTCTTGTGCTCCAAGAACTGCTTCACTGACAACATCCCCACCTGCCTCCCCTCTACCCAGCGCCCCGCCGCCGACTGCGCGTTCTGCGGGGGGGCGGGGGCGGCGGGCATGTGCCGGGGGTATCTTGAGGGGTGCATGCCGGACACCACAGGGGTGGTTGGCCCCAATGTGTGGGCCTCGCCGCTGCTCCCACAGTTCTGTGCAGCGGTCCCGATTCTCCCTGCTGCTCAGTGTGAGTGCTTGAGGCGCCTCAAAACTAGACTTCTCTTCTGTGCAGCGGTCACCATTCTCCCTGCTGCTCACTGTGAGTGCTTGAGGCGCCTCAAAACTGGACTTCTCTTCTGTGCAGCGGTCACCATTCTCCCTGCTGCTCACTGTGAGTGCTTGAGGCGCCTCAAAACTAGACTTCTCTTCTGTGCAGCGGTCACCATTCTCCCTGCTGCTCACTGTGAGTGCTTGAGGCGCCTCAAAACTAGACTTCTCTTCTGTGCAGCGGTCACCATTCTCCCTGCTGCTCACTGTGAGTGCTTGAGGCGCCTCAAAACTAGACTTCTCTTCTGTGCAGCGGTCACCATTCTCCCTGCTGCTCACTGTGAGTGCTTGAGGCGCCTCAAAACTAGACTTCTCTTCTGTGCAGCGGTCACCATTCTCCCTGCTGCTCACTGTGAGTGCTTGAGGCGCCTCAAAACTAGACTTCTCTTCTGTGCAGCGGTCACCATTCTCCCTGCTGCTCACTGTGAGTGCTTGAGGCGCCTCAAAACTAGACTTCTCTTCTGTGCAGCGGTCACCATTCTCCCTGCTGCTCACTGTGAGTGCTTGAGGCGCCTCAAAACTAGACTTCTCTTCTGTGCAGCGGTCACCATTCTCCCTGCTGCTCACTGTGAGTGCTTGAGGCGCCTCAAAACTAGTCTTCTCTTCTGTGCAGCGGTCACCATTCTCCCTGCTGCTCACTGTGAGTGCTTGAGGCGCCTCAAAACTAGACTTCTCTTCTGTGCAGCGGTCACCATTCTCCCTGCTGCTCACTGTGAGTGCTTGAGGCGCCTCAAAACTAGACTTCTCTTCTGTGCAGCGGTCACCATTCTCCCTGCTGCTCACTGTGAGTGCTCGGGTTGGGTCTGCCCATCTTTGCGTGACGTGGGGTGGGGTGTGTATCAGGGATTATACGGCTCATGCCCTCTTATCCCCACTCTCACCCCCTCTCATCTCTCCTCATCTCCCCTCATCGCCCCTCATCTCCCCTCATCTCCTCTCATCTCCCCTCATCTCCTCTCTAACCCTCTCTAATCCTCTCTAATCCTCTCTCTCTCAACCCCACATCCCATCCTGCCTCCATCCTGCAGACTCGCAAGTCATCTCCGGGCGTGCTGGACACTAGCTGGATGGGCACAGGAAAATGCCTGCCTCAAGCCTCGGCTCTCATCCCTCCTCATCCCTCCTCATCCCTCCTCATCGCCGCTCATTCCAGCCCGCCCCCTCTCTGTTACCCGCCCATCCCATGCAGCTTCTGTGCTGATGGCGCTCAAGTCGTCGCTCGGTGTGACGGACTCCACCTGGGGGGCCACGGGGAAGTGCACAGGGGAGAAGGCCACCCAGGCCTCCCCCTACTGGTCTGGCGTCAGATGTGCGGATGATGGCTCTGTTGTGAGCATGTGAGTCGGTGGTAACACTGTCACTAAACATGTGAGTCGGTGGTAACACTGTCACTAAACATGTGAGTCGGTGGTAACACTGTCACTAAACATGTGAGTCGGTGGTAACACTGTCACTAAACATGTGAGTCGGTGGTAACACTGTCACTAAACATGTGAGTCGGTGGTAACACTGTCACTAAACATGTGAGTCGGTGGTAACACTGTCACTAAACATGTGAGTCGGTGGTAACACTGTCACTAAACATGTGAGTCGGTGGTAACACTGTCACTAAACATGTGAGTCGGTGGTAACACTGTCACTAAACATGTGAGTCGGTGGTAACACTGTCACTAAACATGTGAGTCGGTGGTAACACTGTCACTAAACATGTGAGTCGGTGGTAACACTGTCACTAAACATGTGAGTCGGTGGTAACACTGTCACTAAACATGTGAGTCGGTGGTAACACTGTCACTAAACATGTGAGTCGGTGGTAACACTGTCACTAAACATGTGAGTCGGTGGTAACACTGTCACTAAACATGTGAGTCGGTGGTAACACTGTCACTAAACATGTGAGTCGGTGGTAACACTGTCACTAAACATGTGAGTCGGTGGTAACACTGTCACTAAACATGTGAGTCGGTGGTAACACTGTCACTAAACATGTGAGTCGGTGGTAACACTGTCACTAAACATGTGAGTCGGTGGTAACACTGTCACTAAACATGTGAGTCGGTGGTAACACTGTCACTAAACATGTGAGTCGGTGGTAACACTGTCACTAAACATGTGAGTCGGTGGTAACACTGTCACTAAACATGTGAGTCGGTGGTAACACTGTCACTAAACATGTGAGTCTCTGGTAACACTGTCACTTAACATGTGAGTCGGTGGTAACACTGTCACTAAACATGTGAGTCGGTGGTAACACTGTCACTAAACATGTGAGTCGGTGGTAACACTGTCACTAAACATGTGAGTCGGTGGTAACACTGTCACTAAACATGTGAGTCTGTGGTAACACTGTCACTAAACATGTGAGTCGGTGGTAACACTGTCACTAAACATGTGAGTCGGTGGTAACACTGTCACTAAACATGTGAGTCGGTGGTAACACTGTCACTAAACATGTGAGTCTCTGGTAACACTGTCACTAAACATGTGAGTCGGTGGTAACACTGTCACTAAACATGTGAGTCGTGGTAACACTGTCACTAAACATGTGAGTCGGTGGTAACACTGTCACTAAACATGTGAGTCGGTGGTAACACTGTCACTAAACATGTGAGTCGGTGGTAACACTGTCACTAAACATGTGAGTCGGTGGTAACACTGTCACTAAACATGTGAGTCGGTGGTAACACTGTCACTAAACATGTGAGTCGTGGTAACACTGTCACTAAACATGTGAGTCTCTGGTAACACTGTCACTTAACATGTGAGTCGGTGGTAACACTGTCACTAAACATGTGAGTCGGTGGTAACACTGTCACTAAACATGTGAGTCGGTGGTAACACTGTCACTAAACATGTGAGTCGGTGGTAACACTGTCACTAAACATGTGAGTCGGTGGTAACACTGTCACTAAACATGTGAGTCTCTGGTAACACTGTCACTTAACATGTGAGTCGGTGGTAACACTGTCACTAAACATGTGAGTCGGTGGTAACACTGTCACTAAACATGTGAGTCGGTGGTAACACTGTCACTAAACATGTGAGTCGGTGGTAACACTGTCACTAAACATGTGAGTCGGTGGTAACACTGTCACTAAACATGTGAGTCTCTGGTAACACTGTCACTTAACATGTGAGTCGGTGGTAACACTGTCACTAAACATGTGAGTCGGTGGTAACACTGTCACTAAACATGTGAGTCGGTGGTAACACTGTCACTAAACATGTGAGTCGGTGGTAACACTGTCACTAAACATGTGAGTCGGTGGTAACACTGTCACTAAACATGTGAGTCTCTGGTAACACTGTCACTTAACATGTGAGTCGGTGGTAACACTGTCACTAAACATGTGAGTCGGTGGTAACACTGTCACTAAACATGTGAGTCGGTGGTAACACTGTCACTAAACATGTGAGTCGGTGGTAACACTGTCACTAAACATGTGAGTCGGTGGTAACACTGTCACTAAACATGTGAGTCGGTGGTAACACTGTCACTAAACATGTGAGTCGGTGGTAACACTGTCACTAAACATGTGAGTCGGTGGTAACACTGTCACTAAACATGTGAGTCGGTGGTAACACTGTCACTAAACATGTGAGTTAAGGAAGAGGAAGGGATGACGAGAGATGAAGGGATGACGAGAGATGAAGGGATGAAGAGAGATGAAGGGATGAAGAGAGATGAAGGGATGAAGAGAGATGAAGGGATGACGAGAGATGAAGGGATGACGAGAGATGAAGGGATGACGAGAGACGACTCTAAGAGTTTTTTTAGAATAGGCTGATGAATCACCCTTGGCTCTCACCGCCCTTGGCTCCCACCGCCCTTGGCTCTCACCTCCCTCTACCCGTTGCTCCCCTTGTTTGCCCTCCATCTCTCCATCTCTCTCCTCCCTTATCTTGTCCTCCCCGTCCTCCCCGTCCTCCCCGTCCTCCCCGTCCTCCCCGTCCTCCCCGTCCTCCCTGTGCGCCCCTTCGTTGCCTTGTCAACAGCGCCCTGCTCAACCGAGGCCTCAAGGGAGCCCTGGACTCCTTCATCTCCGTCCTCTCCACGCTCACTTCCCTGTACGCCCTTCTCACACCTTCTTGTTATGAGCCGTCTCAAATCAAGATTACATTCGCACCTCTCAGCACTCACTTCCCTGTACGCCCTTGTCACACCTTCCTCCCCCCCCCCCCCACCCCCATCACCGCACCCACTCTCTATTCCCCTGCCCCATTGGCCGTCTCCCTGTCTCTACTCTCGGCTTACGTCTCCAGTCTCTCTTTGCCTCATACCCACTGCCGTGCTCCTGGTCTGTTCTCGTCCCCAGCTTCTCCCATCCGTGCTTAAGAAGTTTAGTTTTGAGACGTCTCAAAAATAATCTGGTCCCTAGCTCCTCCCATCCCGCCCTTGTGCACAAGTTTCTGTCTACCTCCCTCCCCCACCCCGTCCCCCTACGGTGACCTCAGCACCAACCTCCCATCCCTCCCCTCCCCACAACCTTCCCTATCCCACCCCCCCCACCCCCCTCGGACACACAGTGACCTGAGTTCCAACTTCTTCAATGAGCCCGTGTACACAAGACTGTCTACCTCCCATCCCTCCCAACCTTGTCTACTCCCCCCCCCTCCCCTCCTCCCCCCCCCCCCGACAGCGACCTGAGTTCCAACCTATTCAATCAGCCGTTGCACAGCTTCCTCTCGGGCCTCTCTTCCCTCACCTTTCTAAAGCAGCTGTACGTGGCTAGTTTCAAGCAGCTGTACGTGGCTAGTTTCAAGCAGCTGTATGTGGCTAGTTTCAAGCAGCTGTACGCGGCTCGTTTCAAGCAGCTGAATGTGGCTAGTTTCAAGCAGCTGTACGTGGCTCGTTTCAAGCAGCTGAATGTGGCTAGTTTCAAGCAGCTGTACGTGGCTAGTTTCAAGCAGCTGTGCATGGCTCGTTTCAAGCAGCTGTGCATGGCTCGTTTCAAGCAGCTGTGCATGGCTCGTTTCAAGCAGCTGTGCATGGCTCGTTTCAAGCAGCTGTGCATGGCGCGTTTCAAGCAGCTGTGCATGGCGCGTTTCAAGCAGCTGTGCATGGCGCGTTTCAAGCAGCTGTACATGGCTCGTTTCAAGCAGCTGTACATGGCTCGTTTCAAGCAGCTGTACATGGCTCGTTTCAAGCAGCTGTGCGTGGCTCGTTTCAAGCAGCTGTGCGTGGCTCGTTTCAAGCAGCTGTGCGTGGCTCGTTTCAAGCAGCTGTGCATGGCTCGTTTCAAGCAGCTGTGCATGGCTAGTTTCAAGCAGCTGTGCATGGCGCGTTTCAAGCAGCTGTGCATAGCTCGTTTCAAGCAGCTGTGCATGGCTCGTTTCAAGCAGCTGTGCATGGCGCGTTTCAAGCAGCTGTGCATGGCGCGTTTCAAGCAGCTGTGCATGGCTCGTTTCAAGCAGCTGTGCATGGCGCGTTTCAAGCAGCTGTGCATGGCTCGTTTCAAGCAGCTGTGCATGGCGCGTTTCAAGCAGCTGTGCATGGCGCGTTTCAAGCAGCTGTGCATGGCGCGTTTCAAGCAGCTGTACATGGCTCGTTTCAAGCAGCTGTACATGGCTCGTTTCAAGCAGCTGTGCATGGCTCGCTTCAAGCAGCTGTACATGGCTCGTTTCAAGCAGCTGTACATGGCTCGTTTCAAGCAGCTGTGCGTGGCTCGTTTCAAGCAGCTGTGCGTGGCTCGTTTCAAGCAGCTGTGCGTGGCTCATTTCAAGCAGCTGTACATGGCTCGTTTCAAGCAGCTGTGCATGGCGCGTTTCAAGCAGCTGTGCATGGCGCGTTTCAAGCAGCTGTGCATGGCTCGTTTCAAGCAGCTGTGCATGGCGCGTTTCAAGCAGCTGTGCATGGCTCGTTTCAAGCAGCTGTGCATGGCGCGTTTCAAGCAGCTGTGCATGGCTCGTTTCAAGCAGCTGTGCATGGCGCGTTTCAAGCAGCTGTGCATGGCTAGTTTCAAGCAGCTGTGCATGGCTAGTTTCAAGCAGCTGTGCATGGCTAGTTTCAAGCAGCTGTGCATGTCTAGTTTCAAGCAGCTGTGCGTGGCTAGTTTCAAGCAGCTGTGCATGGCTCGTTTCAAGCAGCTGTGCATGGCGCGTTTCAAGCAGCTGTGCATGGCGCGTTTCAAGCAGCTGTGCATGGCTCGTTTCAAGCAGCTGTGCATGGCTCGTTTCAAGCAGCTGTGCGTGGCTCGTTTCAAGCAGCTGTGCGTGGCTCGTTTCAAGCAGCTGTGCGTGGCTCGTTTCAAGCAGCTGTGCATGGCTCGTTTCAAGCAGCTGTGCATGGCGCGTTTCAAGCAGCTGTGCATGGCGCGTTTCAAGCAGCTGTGCATGGCTCGTTTCAAGCAGCTGTGCATGGCGCGTTTCAAGCAGCTGTGCATGGCGCGTTTCAAGCAGCTGTGCATGGCGCGTTTCAAGCAGCTGTACATGGCTCGTTTCAAGCAGCTGTACATGGCTCGTTTCAAGCAGCTGTGCATGGCTCGCTTCAAGCAGCTGTACATGGCTCGTTTCAAGCAGCTGTACATGGCTCGTTTCAAGCAGCTGTGCGTGGCTCGTTTCAAGCAGCTGTGCGTGGCTCGTTTCAAGCAGCTGTGCGTGGCTCATTTCAAGCAGCTGTACATGGCTCGTTTCAAGCAGCTGTGCATGGCGCGTTTCAAGCAGCTGTGCATGGCGCGTTTCAAGCAGCTGTGCATGGCTCGTTTCAAGCAGCTGTGCATGGCGCGTTTCAAGCAGCTGTGCATGGCTCGTTTCAAGCAGCTGTGCATGGCGCGTTTCAAGCAGCTGTGCATGGCTCGTTTCAAGCAGCTGTGCATGGCGCGTTTCAAGCAGCTGTGCATGGCTAGTTTCAAGCAGCTGTGCATGGCTAGTTTCAAGCAGCTGTGCATGGCTAGTTTCAAGCAGCTTTGCATGTCTAGTTTCAAGCAGCTGTGCGTGGCTAGTTTCAAGCAGCTGTGCATGGCTCGTTTCAAGCAGCTGTGCATGGCGCGTTTCAAGCAGCTGTGCATGGCGCGTTTCAAGCAGCTGTGCATGGCTCGTTTCAAGCAGCTGTGCGTGGTTCAGGGTATTCTAGTACCCTGAAAACTCACCTGCAAACCCGCCCTCACGCGGCTAAAGCAGAATGTACTTGGTTTGGTTTGCGCAGCTATATGCTCCTCGTTTCAAGCAAGGTCGGTTGTAGCAGGCTACTCTCGCTGCTTCCCCCACCCGTGCAGTGCAGGCTGCTCGGCTACAACTGCTTCTGCAGCACGATTGGAGTCAGTTTCCAGATCTGTCACCAACAAAGAACTCCAATCTCACTCATTGCAAGCTAACTTCCTTCTCACTCTCTCTCCCCTCCCCCCCCCCCCCCCCCCCCATCCCATTCCCCCCTTGCAGGCTGCTCGGCTACAACTGGTTCTACGGCTCAATCCCCGCCACCATCTCACAGCTCACCAGCCTCACCGGCCTGTGAGTCACTCTAGACAAACAATTTTTGAGGCGCCTCAAAAATCAACTCGTTCTATGGCACGATCCCCACCACCACCTTCTCACACCTCACCGGCCTGTGAGTGAGTCACTCTGAAGAATAAAAAAGAAAACCCGGCCTGTGAGTGAGTCACTCTGGAGAATAAAAAAGAAAACCCGGCCTGTGAGTGAGTCACTCTGGAGAATAAAAAAGAAAACCCGGCCTGTGAGTGAGTCACTCTGGAGAATTAAAAAGAAAACCCGGCCTGTGAGTGGCGCAGTGCCACTCGTGAGTGATGCGGTGACTTGTGAGTCGGCGCCGTTCCACTGCCGTCCCCACCACCTTGCGTGAGGAGTCTAGTTTTGAGGCGCCTCAAAAATAGACTCCTCGCATCGCCCCCGCCGCCACCTCCGCCTGCTCCCGCCTCGGCGCCACCCAGTGGCCCCCAGCAACGACCAGCCGGGAAGGGGGTTCGGTTCGGCTTGTGGGCGTCTCAGAAGTGCTTTTGATTTGAGTCGACTCAAAAGCGTCTCAGAAGTGTCCAACAAGTGCCCCAGCTCATGATGACCCCTGGCTCTCGCCCTTCCCATGTCTCCTACAGGTCCCTCTTCTCCAACTACCTGACTGGCTCGCTCCCCTCCCTGCCCTCCTCTCTCGTCGCCCTAGACGTTGCCTACAACTTCCTCTCGGGCTCCCTCCCCTCGCTCCTCTTGAACCTCAAGCTCTGTGCCGCCGAGCACAACTGCCTCACCCCCGACGCCAACTCCCCCTGCCGCTTCTTCGGCTACATCCAGCGCCCCGCAGCAGCGGCAGGTGTGGCAGGGGCGTCTGCCACAGAGCGGTGTGCGGTGTGCGGGATAGGGACGGAACATGAGGGGAGTGCGTGCTGGGATGGGGTGTGCGCCGCGACTGTGAGTCCGGCGGTGGTGGCTGGAGGGCCGAATGGTCCAGCCAAAGCAGTGCTCGATCTTCAATGCACTGGTGCGTGCTCCTTGTGTTACTCTGAGGTTTCTGGGAGTATGCTCCAGTGGGGGATGGGGACGGCATTGGAGGGGAGTGCGTGCGGGGATTGGGAGTGTGCCGTGATTGCGAGTCCGACAGCGGTTCAAGGAGGTCTGAATGGGCCGGCCAAAGCAGTGCTCGATCTGCAATGCTCTGGTGTGTGGCTTATAGATAGTTATTGCAGTGCTCGTGGTACAACCACCCATGCTATGGCCTTCTTTACTTACCTTGCTCTGTGAAAAAAATCTGTGTTGCCTCTTACTTGCCGGCTTCTCTCCCTTCCACCCCTTTATTCGCTACTCCTTGCCTTACTTCCTTTCATTCCTCTCTCCTCCCCATCCTTCCTGCTACTTACTCCATGCAGGCAACACTGAAGCCTCGATGACTGATGGCACAGGTGAGCCATGCACGCATAAGAGATCATTTGTAAGAGAGATGAAACCGACGCCTGAGCCTGAGTAATGGATGCTGCTTTCTCTCGAGCCTGAGTGCCCGTCCTTCTGAGCTTCTAGTCCTTTCAACCTCCTGGGCCCAACGCCTCTAGTTCAGGCAACCTCCTTTGGAGTGGCGCCCACCCCTGTGCTGTGGCACCCTGCCTGTGACCTCAACGGGCGGTTTTGACAGCTTTTGAGTGGTTTGTAACAGCTTCTGAGTCAACTCGAAAGCGGTTTGTAACAGCTTTTGAGTCAACTCGAAAGCGGTTTGTAACAGTGCACCTTCCCCTATGCTACAAAGACCGTCTCCTCTATGCTAACAACCCCTCCCTCCTCCTGCCGTTCCTCCTTCCTTCCCTCCCCTCCTCCCCTCCCCCCCGATTGTGCAGGGTGTTTTTGAGAATTCTAAAAAACACTCTGTGCTAAAAATCCCTCCATCCTCCTGCCGTTCTTCCTTCTTTCCCTCCCCCCACCTCCCCTTCCCTCCCAGTGGCCGCTCTTCTGTTTTGAGGCGCCTCAAAACTTTCCCTCCCCCCACCTCCCCTTCCCTCGCAGTGGCCGCTCTTTTGTTTTGAGGCGCCTCAAAACTTTCCCTCCCCCCACCTCCCCTTCCCTCCCAGTGGCCGCTCTTCTGTTTTGAGGCGCCTCAAAACTTTCCCTCCCCCCACCTCCCCTTCCCTCCCAGTGGCCGCTCTTCTGAGCCTCAAGTCGGCCCTGGGAGTGACCTCCACAACTTGGAGCAGCGCCTACCCGTGCGCCGTGCTGGGCTCTTCGGGGACCTACTGGAGTGGGATCGCGTGCGACAACCAGGGCAATGTGCTGCACCTGTGAGTCACGGCAATGTGCTGCACCTGTGAGTCACGGCAATGTGCTGCACCTGTGAGTCACGGCAATGTGCTGCACCTGTGAGTCACGGCAATGTGCTGCACCTGTGAGTCAGGGCAATGGGCTGCACCTGTGAGTCACGGCAATGTGCTGCACCTGTGAGTCACGGCAATGTGCTGCACCTGTGAGTCACGGCAATGTGCTGCACCTGTGAGTCACGGCAATGTGCTGCACCTGTGAGTCACGGCAATGGGCTGCACCTGTGAGTCACGGCAATGTGCTGCACCTGTGAGTCACGGCAATGTGCTGCACCTGTGAGTCAGCCTTTTGAGTTGAGTCAAAAGGCATCCTCGACTTAGAGCAGCGCCTACCCTTGCGCCGTGCTGGGCTCTTCGGGGACCTACTCGAGTGGGATTGCATGTGGCAACCAGGGCAATGTGCTGCACATGTGCGTCTGTGGATGCGTGGTGTGAGAATGTTCTTTGAGAGTTCTCAAAAACATATTCTTGTCCTGCCTGTGTGCTGCACATGTGAGTCAGTTAATGCGAGCATGCCCCATGCCCCATGCCCCATGCCCCACCACCTCACAGGGACCTGCCCAACTCGATGCTGAAGGGGCCCATGGCAGCCAAGATCAGCACGCTCACATCCCTGACTTCTGTGCTTCCTTTCTTCCCGATGCAATCTCACGCTGCTCCTCACTTGAAACCCTATGCTCCCATGCTTCCATGCTCCCATGCTCCCATGCATCCCCCCCATCCCACCAATCAGTGACATGCCCAATTCCAAGCTGAAGGGGTCCATGGCAGCTGAGATCAGCATGCTCACATCCCTCACTCGCATGTAAGCCGTGTACCATGTAGCGTGCTGTCTCATGCTGTAGCGTGCTGTCTCATGCTGTAGCGTGCTGTCTCATGCTGTAGCGTGCTGTCTCAAGCTGTAGCATGCCGTCTCATGCTGTAGCATGCCGTCTCATGCTGTAGCACGCCGTCTCATGCTGTACGGTTCTGCGTGGTTCAGAGAGCGTCACGTCACGAGTCTATTTTGAGGCACCTAAAAAATAGGTTCCTAGGGGCGTCACTTCACCACCTGTTCACCTTACTTGCCCCGTCTCTCTCTACCACTCCACTCCCCTCATCCCCCTTTTTTTGAGGCGCCTCAAAACGCGTGAGGAGTCTACTCTTGAGGCGCCTCAAAATGCGTGAGGAGTTTACTTTTGAGGCGTCTCGAAATGCAGGAGGAGTCTACTTTTGAGGCGCCTAAAAAATGGACCACCTGTTCACCTTGCTTGCCCTGTCTCTACCACTTCACTCCCCTCGCCCCCCTCCCCTTCCCCTCCCCACCCCCTGCAGAAGCCTGTACGGCAACCACTTCTGGATCCCCCTAGGCTCTTCAGTGTCAGCATCCACCATTCCCCTTGCCCCCGTGTGACTTACCCTCTTCCCCCCCACCCGGTCTCCCTCCCCACCGCCTGCAGAAGCCTGTACACCAACCTATTCTGGATGCCCCTAGACTCCTTCACCTCGCACTTCACGTCCCTCTCCAACCTTATCGTACTGTGAGTGCCCCTTGGGCTGTGAGTGCTCTTTTGATCTGCAGCCCTGTGTCTTCTCATCTACCCCTTCTCTCCTTCACCTCGCACTTCACCTCGCACTTCACATCCCTCTCCAAACTTGTCATACTGTGAGTGCCCTTCCCATCTGTGACCCCGTGTCTTCTCATCTGCCCCTTCACTCCCCCATTCGCCCTCGTAATGCTGCGAGTGCTCTTATTTACCCACCCTGCAACTCACCCCGTCAAACCACCCCGCCACCCCACCCGGCCACCCAACCCTGCCAACCTACCCCGCCACCCCACCCTGCAGTCAGCTTTACTACAACTGGTTCTACGGATCGATACCCTCCTACCTGCTCGCTCTCCCCAGCCTTACAAAAGTGTAAGTCCCGTTTCTCAGGCTCTTTGTCCTTTCTCAGTCTCTTTGTCCTTTCTCAGGCTCTTTGTCCTTTCCACCTCCTACCCTCCTCCCTGCCTGCTCTCCCCAGACTGTACGGATTAGCCCCAATCACTCCCCTACAGCATTTGTTTTTTAAATTTCTCAAAAACACAACACATCCAGAGTGTACGGGTTAGGCCCAATCCCTCCCCTACAGCCTTTCTTTTTTAGTGTTCCAAATTACATCACACATCCAGACTGTAAGGATTAGCCCAATCCCTCCCCCACAACCTTTGTGAGACTGTGACCAACTGCCTCTCGGACTTACGCTCTCTCCCTTTCCCACCCTCTCGCCCACCTTCTCCCCGGCCTTCTCCCCGGCCTTCTCCCCTCCCCCAGAGCCCTTTTGGGCAACTACCTCACAGGCTCCGTCCCCGTGCCCATCTCTACCGCCCTCTCCAGGCTCGTCTTAAGCTACAACTTCCTCTCGGGCTCAGTGCCATCTCACCCCTACAGCTCCTGTGAAGCTATCTACAACTGTTTCGCTGACTCGTCCACATGCACCACCACTGGCACCGTGCAAAGGAGCACAGGCTGTGCTATATGTGGGTCGGTAGACGGGTCGGGTACCCTGTGTGGGGGCACGGGTGTGTGTAAACCCGACGCGTCCGTGCCGCTCTTGCAGGAAAGCCCGAACCTTATCGCCTCACCTCTCATCAGCTTGGCTTGCGTTTAAAGCATGTTTTTTATGGATTGATATTGCAGTGTTCATGTGAATTAGAGCTTATCAGTTGCATGTTTGTCGGTCATTTGGAGTAGTGAAGTTGGCTTGGCTCTCGTTTTGGGTTGCCATGTGCAACCTGCTCCTCATCTGTTCATACTACAGATAGGCACATGTTAAAGCTGCACTGCAATCAAGCGGCTCAAAGTGCCGAGAGACCCATTGGGGTTGCCCTTGAGATCCTCTAGGAAGGGCCATAGGCCTCTATGCCTGGGGGGTTTTGGGCGCACTGACCCGCTCAAGCCCTTATAACTCAGTGATTAGTGGCTGAGTTCTGAGTGAAAAACCAAGTGAGCTCTAGCAAAAGCATACGAAGTGATATAAGGGTTTGAGTGGTAATCTCTAAGAGCACGAACCTGTCTAGCCTATAACTATACATGCATAGCAAATCTATAAATTGACACACCCCCTAGGCTAGATAACGGGCAGTGCCTAGCAATAGACATAGAGCTCAGGGCGGCACTGTTAAATTATATAGGAGTATATACCGTAATCCCCCGGATATAACACCCGCTGAAATTAAGCACCCCCTGGTGTTATATCCGGGGAGGGTGTTCTATTGAAGAATCCGCAATTATACACCCTCTTTTTGAGGGTTCCAGGAGAGCACCCCCCCCCCCCCCATTACATTCGAACCCTTCTACCCCTAACAATACCAGCAACAAATGCATTTTTTTCATGCCATTTCATGCTGATTACTGTTAACGTAGAAACGAATGATTACTAGAGGTGGAAACCTAGAACAAATACTAGTTGGTTGTACTCACTAGAAGCATACCTCAGTCTAGCCTATAACTTCTACATAGATAATATGTATAAGTTGACACACCCCCTAGGCTAGACAAGGGGTGAAACTAAACAAGAAGCAAACAGCTCAGGGCGGCACTACTAGTCCAACCACTGAGGCAGGGGTCTGGAGACCAGTCAGCAAGAATACAACCAAAACTGAAGCAAGCTAGGGTGGCACTACTAGTCCAGCCACTGGAGGTAAGGCCACAAGGCCAGTCTGACAAGCATATATAATAGAGAGTACACAATCAGGATCCTAACAGGGGAGCAGCTATAGGAACAAGACCAAGCTGTACACAGTGCCGCTGATGATCTTTAGGCGCAAGCGCCTTAGTAAAGATATCAGCTGTGTTGGCACCTGAGGCCAAGTGAACTACGCGGGCCTGGCGGCGCTGCTGTAGCTCGCGCAGGAGGAAGTACCGCAGCTGGATATGCTTCGCTCTGCCCTCAAGCCGAGGCTCCTGACACAGGAGTATCATGGCCCTGTTGTCAGCGTACAGGACCGGGGCAGAGCTAGGCCGCTCACCTAAGTCTGTGAGCAAGAAGGTCAGCCAGCGGAGCTCCTGTGCCGCCATGGCACCAGCGTAGATCTCAGCCTCACAGCTAGACTGAGCCACAGACGACGAGCGAGTGGATCTCCAAGAGATAGCACCCGAACCAAGGCTGAAACAGTAGCCCTGCGACGACCTGAGCGTCTCAGCGTCGTCTGCCCAAGAAGCGTCTGTGTGCCCAGTAAGGACCACTGGCCTGCGTCCTCCTAGCACTAACCCCATGCCTGATGTACTAGCAAGATAACGCAAAACCCTCTTAGCGGCAGACCAGTGCTGAGGTCGGTGTCTGCCTGTAGCCACAAAGCGAGCCAGGATGCTGAGAGGGTATGCGAGATCTGGGCGAGTGCAAGTCATCAGGTACATGAGGCAACCCACCAGCTCTGCGTAGGGGCCACTGGGCTCTACTGGCTCCTCAGGAACGGGAGCAGAGAGCCCATGGTCTACGGGTAGAGGTGTGGGCTGTGCGGAGGAGAACTGAAGACCGAACCTCTGAAGGACCTGACGCACCAAGTGTGACTGGGTCAGAGTGATGGTGCGTGCTGCTCTGTCCCTAGAGATCTGCAGGCCAAGATAGCGACGCAGCTCTCCAAGGTCAGTGCAGGTGTGTCTCTTCAGCAGCTCAGCCTTCACAGAGGCCAGTGCGTCCCTGTCAGGAGTAGCGAAGACCAGGTCGTCTACGTAGACAAGGATGTAGAACGGAGTCTGGCCGGAACGCACAAACAGTGAAGGGTCAGCAGAGGACGGAAAGAACTGCAGGTCTGCTAACGTGGCACGTAGCGTGTCGTGCCACTCGCGGGGAGCCTGACGCAGGCCGTAGACCGGGCGCCTGAGAAACCACTGGGTCCCAGGAGGGAAGGTACCAGTGAAGCCCTGTGGTCGGCGCAGGTAGACCTGCTCGTGTAGGCTGCCCTGAAGAAAGGCAGTAGAGAAGTCGAGGGAGTGAAGCTCGTAGTCACGCTGTGCTGCTACGTGTAGCAGCGCCCGAAGAGTGGTCATCTTCGGGGTCGGGGCGAAGGTCTGGAAGAAGTCAACCCCCTCGCGATGACTGAAACCTCTGGCCACGTAGCGCGCCTTGAAGACAGGCGGCTCTCCAGGGGGGCGCTTCACCTTGAAGAGCCACCGACCATCGACTACGTTCACCCCAGGCGGGGGAACTGCGTCGACGTAAGTGCCGGTGGATCTCCAAGATGCCATCTCCTGCTCCATGGCAGCTATCCACTGAGAGGCCCAAGGTCCCGAGGTGGCCTCAGCGTAGGTGCGAGGGGTCGGGATGTCGAAGGCGTCTGGGTCACCCTCAGGGACTAACAGCATGGAGCAGAGATGGGGAGCAGCCTCGGAAAGGAAAGCCAGCTCGTACTGCCTGTCCTCTAGGACGTCACTGCCAAGGGCAGGAGCACCCCCGACGGACAGAGGACGGGCAGGGTCAGAGACCAGAGCGGTAGCGTAGTCAAGGCGGCGGGTAGAAGCGAAGTCAGCGACAGCAGCGACAAGCGCGTCAAGGCGCGAGACAGGAACAGCAGGGTCGGTAACAAGAGAGGCAAGGACCCGAGGGACAAGGGGACGAGCAGCACGGAGGTAGTCAGAGAACGGAGGAGGTGCAACAGCAAGGGACGAGGGAGGAGGGGACGGGAGGAGGGGAGGACGAGACGAGTGGGAACGGAGCAACATAGGGTGGGTGGGCAGGACAGGAGAGACGGGACGAGCACGGGAGGGACGGCGAGCCCAAACGTGAGACGGAGGGGTAGGGTCAGGGGACAGCGGAGGAGACACAGGAGGGGAACGAGGAGGAAGACGGGCCGGAGACGAGTCTGGCGGCGGGAACACAGGACCGTAGACAGGGAGGTCAGGAGGCGGTGGGGGAGACACCGGCGCGCGGTCCGGGGAGGGAAGGCCGAGCAGGCGGAGAGCGGAAACCGGCGGCGACGGCTGCTGCGGCGGCGACGACGGCTGGGCCGGAACTCTCGGACCAGCAGAGGCAGAACGACCGTCGGCAGAACACTCAACAGCAGCACCCCCAGAACCAACACCCCCAGAGCGAGAACCCCCTCCAACACCAGCGGCACCCCCAGAAGCCGCAGGACGAACACCCTCCTCCACACCAGCACCCCCAGGGGCCTAGAGCAGCGGCGGCAGTGGCGGCAACGGCTGCGGCGGCGGCGACAGCGGCGACGGCTGCGGCAGCGACAGCGGCGGCGGCGGCGACGACAGCGGCGACGGCTGCGGCGGCGACGGCGACGGCGGCGGCAGCGGGGTCGGCGACTGCGACAGTGGGGGCGGAGGCACCGGGGAAGGGGGACGCGGCAAGGACGGACCGGGGGTACCACCAGAGTCAGCAGACTCCTCAACGGGGACAACCGACGGGAGGGGAGTGACGTGGGAGACACCAGACGGGGCAGGACGAGGCGGGAGAGGGGCAGGGGCTACCGGGGGAGAGGGAGCAAGGAAAAGGGGGGGGCAACTGGGAGACCTCGGTGAGGGAAGCGGCGGTAGAAGGAGACGGACTCGTCAAAGGTGACGTCACGAGAGTGGAGGAAGCGGTGAGACGGCGGGTGGTAGAAAAGCCAGTCAGACGAGTCCAGGGGGAAACCGAGGAAGACACAGGGGACAGTGCGGGCAGTGAGCTTGTCCGTGCCAGAGGCACGAACGTGAGCAAGGCAGCCCCAGACGTGGAACGCAGACGCGTCACCGGGGGACCCGGTCCAAAGGAGGGTCGGCGAAACCTGCGGCCGCTGGGAGCGTGGCCACAGGTTAAGCTGGTGAGCCGCGTAGCGAACAGCGAACGGCCACAGAAAATGGGGGGCATCGGCATGGATCATGGAGGTACGGGCGACCTCCATGACCAAGCCGATGCGGCGCTCAGCAACCCCATTCTGCTGTGGCGAGTCCGGCAACGTGTACGACTGGGTGATGCCCTCCGCACGACAGAACTGTCCAAGCCGACCAGAGGCGAACTCGCCGCCACGGTCGGAGTGGAGACACAACACGGGGAGACCGCGGTGGAGACGCGCAGCCACAACCCACGGGAGAAGAACGTCGGGCACGTCGGCCTTCCGCTCCAGGGGAAACACCGTGGTGTAGCGCGTGTAGTCGTCGACGAGCACAAGGAAGTAGCGCTCACCGCGCGGTCCGGGGACGGGGGCAGGGCCCCAAACGTCCAAGTGCAGGGTCTGAAGGGGGGCAGTAGCAGGACGCAGCGAGGAGGAGTGAGGAGCACGGCGGAGCCGACCCTCGACGCAAGGCGTGCACGGTGGCGCAGTCGAGGGAGGAAGGGCAGGGAGCGACGCAGGGAGACCTAAGACAAGGCCGTGCTGGGACATGTGACGCAGACGCGGGAGAGCAGGGTGACCTAAGCGGTGGTGCCAGAGAAGGGAGGGGTGAGTGAGGGACCGACACGAGCAAGCTGCAACGACCTGGGAGGACGCACCAACCGGGGGGGAAGCGGTGTGTAGGGTAAACAGACCGGACACCGGGTCCCGAGGGAACGTCGCAAGGGGGGAACCTGACACAGCCTCAGAACAGACAGCGAACCGCTCGTGCCCGGGGAACGTGGTGGTGACGCCGAGGTCCTGGAGACAGCCGACACCAACCAGGTTCCTGGAGAACGAGGGAACGTGGAGGCCAGTAAGGGAGCCAGAGGGAACTGCCGGACAGGGAAGGGACGTAGAACTGCGCGCGACGACCGGACCCGCAGAGGGGTCAGCGAGAGAGACAACA